AGAGAGACGGCCGAAGGGGGGGACTTCCGGGGGCCCGCAACATGATGCGAACATGCGGTTTTGGGCTTCTCAGGCTCGGCATAGCTCGCAGAGAGATCAATCCGGTCTAAGAATACATGTTCCCTTCAAAAGAAGCAACCTTGGCAAGCTGCCAATATCGCTTGCCAAGTGTCGTGACCCACGGTCAAAAGATGGCGATACCCCAATAGACCTGGGGGGGGTTTTCGGGTTCCGTCCCCCTGGTTGCGGTTTGGGGAGCCGATTCGGAATCACAGGCAGCAGGGCTTTCTGGGATCGGATTGGCCATCACCTTTTCGTGGCCCTAGAGTGAGTTTCCTGATGAAATTCTCAAGGCGGTCAAGAGACTTTAACCAAATTCGCTGAAGATTTGCTTCAGTGGTAGTGTAACTTGCCAGTCACAGCAAAAGGTCCTCCTGAGAGATGATCAACGAAGTGTCCCTGTTTCTTTGGTGGCAAGTGAGCTTCGGTGTTGTTCTGAGTCTTTCGTTTTGTTTGTAGTTCACTTGGGGTGCGGGACGAGAGAGACGAGCCATTGAGATTCAACGGATGGAGCACACATGCTCCTGTGTCCATTGCGGCCACCGCACAGTTCAAGTTTTCCGCTTTTGCACCCATCCGCAAAGTCTACAATAGTACACAAACCTGGACTACGCGATCCCCCGCTTCTTTGACCCCCCGCTTGTTGCAAGCAAGAGATCCTCTGCAGGCAAGCCCCAGCCCGCCTGTGCCGTACTTGGCCCCTGCGTTGTTCACGCCGCCGCTGGCCCGCGCGTTCGCCTTGCCCCCGTCGGCATCCATCTCCACGAAGTAGACGGCCCCGTTAAGGCCGCAGGGCATGTAGAACCTTGCGATCCACGGGAGCCCAGTGCTTCGACTTGGTCTTCCCCCCTTTCGATCCGTCGCAGAAAAAGAAGTCTTCTCAAAGTTTGAGAACGATGGGCGAACGGAATGGGATATAAGTGCTTCGCACATTCACTCACCGGACTCTTTAACTGGTGCTTTGGGGCCCGTTCTTTTAGATTGGGGGACTTCTGGCAAAGGATGAAAACGCAAAAACAAGGGTCAAGGTTTGATCCGGAAAAGGTCCATTTGAATGTGCCATGCTTGACAGGGGCACAAGAAACATGGGATGGCGTCTCGTACATTTGGTTCCGAAGTCTATTCTGAAGACACAACCAACCGGTGTCAAGACCCGTGCGTTGTCTTTGGTTTGCTGGGTTTGGGCCAAAAAATAATCATTGCAAGGCCGCCCGCGGCTTCAAGCTGCGCTGGGTGAAACAAAACGATGCTCACACCCCTCGAACGAAATGGAGTCAAATGGCCATGTGTCAAAACCCCAGTGAACATTCCAATCCCCACTAAAATAGACTAAAAAATGGGTGGTGAATTCACCTACCCCGAAATGGGATCCCAAAACGGTCTTGACCCACAGCCTAAACACAACTGATACCCACGCCGGGGCCGGGGAGACACCCATTGTACGGGAAGCGCGGGGGCTTCCCCGCGAACAGCGTCGAGCACAAAACGGGGGACAGGAGTCGAGCAGCATGTCCACGGTGAGGCTGAACTCTCGGTTCTTCAGCTTGAAGATCTTGTACTTGTCCGGGCCATCCATCATGTACACCCGAGACCCGAAGTTGGAGCCATACCTGGGGAAAAAAAACGCGAGACGAGGCGGAAAAAGCGGTGACAATAGGTGATAGGTGAAAGGTCCCCTAAGGATCCTCGAACCGAAACCACGGAGAACATGTGGAAACAATGGGCATGCGAGCGATCCCTTGTGACGGGCCCGGTGCGTCAGGATTCAATCTGAAATTGAAATTACAACAAGGCTGAGTTTCAAGCCGCCTTTGAAGTTTGAAGGGGAGGGCCCAAGACAAGAATACAAGAAGAAAGCACGAAAAGAGATGAGAAGGCACAAAGGTCAACTGTTTGGCCCAAGGTACTTGTCCGTGGTCACAAAGTTCATCTTGATGCCATTGTCTGTCGTGGTGATGCCATAGGTCGACTTGTACTGCTTCTCCGAGTTGCCTGATCTCGACACGTGCCTTTCCCTGGCTGCTACAAATTGAAACGCCCGGACCCCGCCCCTGAGAATACCAACCGAATATGGGATGGCACCCCCGGTTGAATATATGGTGGGGAAAGTACGGAACCTGAAAAGAGCACGCAGTCTTTTCCTTTGAAGGGAGGATGGACGAGATTGCGTCCATCCTTCAATTGACTTCGACGACGTTCCCCTTTCGCTGAAAGCCGACAGTATGGGGCGCGGAAACACCAGCGTTACTTCTCTTGGGGTATAGTGCTGGCGAACATGGTCAAAACGGAGTCTGCCAGTGGCCATGAACCAGACATATGGCTTCGCTAGATTTTTTTATGTTTTGGGTTCCGAGCTTATGTCCAAAGGTGTGCAAAACCGGTGCTTTGGAAAGGATATGTCCTTGCAGGAATCCTGATTGCTTACAGCTCCTGTTTTAGAAATCGAAGCAGGTCTAAGAGTCTAGGAGTCTAGGATTGGCCTATGAAGATTTCCTTCCGCGTCGTTTTCGTATGGCAAAATGTGTCTTTCCTCTACATATTCCGTACGGTCCCCTCCCCCCTTCCCCACCGAACAGCTTCGGATGGTCAACCTTGGGAAACATGTAAGCACCTCTTAGCCCACTCAGAAGTATGGTTATTACAGTTCGCAAAAGCCCCTTGTTCCTGTCATCGTATGTCGGAGGTTCGGAGCTCGAGCCCCGTCGCCTTCGAGGTGGCAATTCTCGGCACAGGCCAAGGGGTCTGGGCACAAGGAGCTGTCGAAGTCCCCGTCCTGCAGCCCGACCCAGGGGAGAAACCCGGCCACGGAATGCCCCCATTTTTCCCCATAGCTTGCTCTAAAAAAAAGTGTTGTTTTAGGGGGGTTCCGTGTTCATCGGAAGCTGCGGAAAAAACCCAAAGGAAGCCAAGCAAGTGAAGAAGGGAAACCACAAGAAGGCGATTTCGGTTGCAAAGAAGAAAAAACAAAGGAAGGCTCATGCGTGTATCAAGCCTAGGCCACCTACAGAGTTAACCTAGGCAGAAAGCCGCAAACAACTTTTCACACTGCGCACTGCGACTGAAATCTCGGGCCGGGCATACAAGCATGCAAGGTGCCAAGGGTTGGATCTGCTTTCCACACCATGCTCAAGGGTCTCATCTTCTTGAATCCCAACGTTTACAACTGGGGCCATTATTTCATTGCTCGGAAATTCTGGCATGTTTCCCTGTAGGGATCCTCTGCCATGTCCATCCTAACCCATTTTCAACACGGTGCCCCCCAAAAAAAGATTCGGACCAGACCAGCATCCAGCGTCAAGTTTGGCAATCCAAAAACCGAATCGGCCGCCACCTTTTCTTGGGGAGAAAAAAAAACGCATCTCGTGTTGAACGCCCGAAAAGGAGAAAGCAGCCACCCTCAGCCATGGGCTTCGCGTCAAACATTGAACACCTTTGGGGAGACACTCTGCGTGTCCCTCCCATGAGGGCATGGTCAGCAAAAGAGGGTGTCCGTGTTTCCTTGAGTCAAAAACCAGACAAAGACCAACAGTGGTTGAGTTGAGTTCTTGTCGGCTTCTCTTGCAAACCATCAATAAGGAAGTCGCCCAATTTGAGCACGTCCCGACTGTGTGCACATCGCCCAAGTCAGACTTGCCCCCTTGGTCCTTGTAGCAATTGGTGTACTGGCCGTTGTGAAGCCAGCGCCAGTTTGCATCTAGAACTATGGACTGCATCGACTTGGAACACCCAGAATCATCGCAGGTCCATAAAGGCATCGACGGATGAAACTCCTGGCGCAGTGGGCTGGTGGATTTAAGGTTGCATCAATTTGGGAAGTACAGACCCGTGAGAAGGCTGGGTGTCTCTCCTGGAAACCAATCGGAACCAACAATTGTTTTGGGGGTCCCCAAAAAGAAAAGCCACTAAGTTCTGTTTGAAACAGACGTCCGTGCACTTCCACGTTTATTCATAGGAGGGTACCAAATTCGAACAAGCGGCTCTGGTCCAGAATTTGTGAGCAACGCGCTGACGGCTCAACATGGTGGCATCTATTTGAGCCACGGCCAAAATTGTGTGTTCCCCCCCCCAAAAAAAAAAACATGCAAATGAGAGAGTCCCCTGGTTTATTCCGGACAATTTGGAGCTCGTCCCCCATGTCTCCGCCAACGGGACCCTAGATTGCCGTACTTCTTTGTAGATCGCTTACCCTGAAGAACATTCAGTGGAGAGCCGGGGAAGCTGTCCGTCAAAAAGCATAGCAGCGATGCGTCCAACCGCAGCGACATGTGCGTCCAACCCATCCTCCACATGTACCCCAGGCTGCTGCGCCCACGCGCAGGCCGCAACGCCGGCGAGCACCCTCCACATGAGAAGCTGAGTCTACTCCTAAAAAAGGCCTAGTTGTCAGGCGCTTTGCATCAGAAAAGACGCTGCGGAGGAAGATCTTCAACCAGAGCAAGAGTGTTGATACGGCAAGGTGCATGTTCCAAAGCAAGCCACCGCAAATGGGGGGGGTGTTCTTTCGGTCTTCTAAAAACTCATCAGAAAGAGTGGTCTCTATTGTTGAGGGAAACACAGGTAACCCTTCCACAGGCCCATCGCCGTGTGTGTTTTCTGTCTGCATCCCTATGCATAGCTTTCATGCTCGCAAGATGTCCGAGTTAATGACAATTCGCCAACTCCAAAAAAAGAAGGTTCTGCATTGACTAAAACCTCCATTATGAATATTGCAAACCCCCGCTCGGTCAAGCTGCCAAAAGATCTGCCTGGAAGGATGAAATATCCTGTTCCAATGGTTGTCAAGGGCCCCCCGATAGGGCCCCCCAATCCCAATAGGGGCTTAGGGGCTGATAGGGTTCATTTTGGGGATCATTTCCAGTAGGTCCCCTCTTTGGGAAACCCCTCACAACCATAGGACCTGTGGAGGTCTTCCATGGTACGCCGACCTCCGCCCGAATCGCCTCTGGAGCATCACCCAGCGAGAGTGTATGATCCCCCAGCGACCGCAGGAGCCGGTCACGCCTCAGGCGCTGGCGGATTCTTCCGCTTTGGATGCGAGAAACCTACCCAGGATGCGTAGACGATTGTTACGACACCGTGCAACCATGGTTGTGACCTATGTACTTGCATGGTTGAACCTGCAAACGTCAGCTTCTTGGAGAAAGAGTTGAAAAAGGTGTTGACCCCTCCGATGTTCTGAATCGAATTTCTCCTTTTTGCGCCTTTTCAAAAAGCCCCTTCTCACATCTGCCGTCTGTGGCGCTGCAGACCTGCGATAAGAACTGGGGCTGCTGGTTTGCTCGGCACAATTCCATGATGAACGGGGGAGTGATGCAACAAAAGAACCGAAAGGGACCACGAAGTCGACATGCTCGAATGGTTGAAAAACATGTTTCGTAGAAAAAAAACCAACCTAAAGAAACCTTGCCCTTACCTTTTCACACGGCCCCTGGCGCTTTTTCTTTTTCCAAGAGCATGCCACTCGCACGGGCCACTCAAAGTCTTGCAACAAGCGCGACGGCTGTTTGCGCGAACGCTTCTTTGAACGAAGTCAACTTGGCCACTCGAATTCGGACAAGAGGAAATCGATGTGAGCCCCGCCTTTTGTTTGCAGGGGACATCCAGCCCCTCACGGCTCACAGCTCAGAGCCGCAAGGTGCAGTTCTCGCCACGCTGCAGCACCAGGCTCAGCTCGGGATCATCGATGCATGCCTCGCGCTGGATATATGTTTGCTCTGCCAACATCAGGGCAAGACTGCTTGAAACAAAGCTGGCATCTTAAGGAGAGCCAAAAGGAGCTGAATCAAATACATGGGTGTGCGAAATTACTCTTTTCCCGATGATTTGGCTTGACAAACCTGAACCTGCGAACCCTGGAAAGCCTGACACAAACCTGACAAATCCCAACCCTAACAACAACCCGCAGAAAGTTGGACAAACCTGAGAAAATATGTGGCTTTGGTTGCCACATGTTGCCACTCAGATGCATGTGCTAACACCCAGACATCGCCCTTCTTGCTGTTCACCTCCACGATGCGATCCCCCTTTTGCACCGCTTGGCCGGGATTGGCCTGGCAGCTTGCCGAGTCGCCATTGTTTCAAACATCAACTCAATTAGGGGAGTTTCAAAATAGTGGTCCGTAAAATAGTTGGTTTCTTTCCCTTAAATACCGACCAAAAGGGGGTCCACCATTTTGAGAAACCCCCGTTTCAGCCCCGGCTGTTTCCCAAGAGGACACGGGCAAAACTGTGGGTGGGCTCCCGTGGTGTAGGAACAAATTCAGGTGTGGGCCCCACAAGGCTTCTGTCCTTCACCTAACAATAGACTGTCAGAAATATGGCTCTGGGTCAAAACCCTGTACCCCTGGTGAACATCAAAATAGGTGGTGCATGGGTGTTCATCCACCCCAAAATGGAGCCATAGGTTATGACCCATGGCCATATGGGGCTTTCTGGTTACTTTCACCGTCTGCCAACCAGAAGCCGACCTGGCCTTGTTCCAGTCTGCCACCAGCCCAGACTCGCAAACCAAATAGACAACGAGGCTCTTGCCGTCATACAAGTCCACGTCCATGCCAAGCGAGGACCCTGCATACTTCACCAGCCGCACATTCCATTCCTTTGATGGCATTTCTGTTTGCACAAACCGAGCGTTATAATCGAAGAACCTTGAAACCGTGTACTGTTTGCCTCCACTATGGAGAACCGAAACTCATTCCATGCTCAAAATATACAGGAAACAAACCAACAACGTCCAAAAACCACGTGCCAAATGCGAAGACTCTTTTGGGGTGGCTTGCGCCTTCATCTCGTGCAGGGCTTTGGCATCATGGACCTCTCTAGGCGCTGTGCATAGCCCCCCCATGGCGCTCAGCCACGCGCAGCTTTCGGCTCAACGTGCGGATTCTGAGACTTGGTCAAGTGGGGGGGGTCTGTTTGGAGAGGTGCACAGAAGTGCAGTAAGTCTGAAGTTTTGGGTCACTCGTTTGCTGCGCAGAATGTTTCACCAACCACGTCAACGCATCCAGAAGTGAGGAATTGGTGTCTCCGAATCCATCGGACCATGGGAGTCAGTTGCAAGCATGTCTGACAAAAGATCCAAAGTGACTCAGCTTGTGATGTAAGTGTGAAAAAAGCTGCTTGAGCTGACACGGCCAGTGACAAGGAGTCTCACGCAGCCCGACCGACTGACAAATAGACAGACAGATAGACACACGGATAGACAGACAAATTGGCCGACAGGCAGACAGGCAGACAGGCACGCAGCCAGACAGCCAGACAAACAGAGAGAACTGGCCTACAAGGCAAACCCTGGTCAAATTGCCTTGCCGCGAAAGAAACCGCCGTTTCCTAAACGACCATGGTCAAAAGCTCTGAAAGAGGCAGGGTTCTCCTTGATTTGCTCCTTTCAACATCACCGGAAAAGGGAGCTCACTCTAATTTGGCAACAAGGTGATGCTTAAATCCCACCGGCAACGAAGGGCTATAGGTCCTCCAGTAGAGAGGTTAGAATAAGGGTACTTTTTTCTGTAGTCTATTTAAGTAGGGGAACCCTCCCCAAAAAAAGAATCGGTCAAAGGGCACCTAGCTGGGGGACCAACGAATGGAACACGAACCCGGCCCCTTCGCCCAGACTTCTCTGGGGCGCCGGCATGCCCCAGTCGCCGCCGGGAGGCTTCTGCCTGGATACCCAGAGCGTGGTGGACGCAAGGACAACATCTTAGCGGACTGGAAGCACCTGGGAGGACCTCTCTTTGTCCTTCGGATCTTTCAAGGAGGTCCTTGACCTTGGGCCCCAAAACCTGTTCTTTGGAAAGCGTCACATGCCATGAAGACATGGGAGGCTTGGCCTTATCCGGATGATTCGACGACACGGTCGGGGGAATCTTCATGAAAGTGACCATTGTGAGGTCACATCTCTATACATGCGATTCTTGCTGGAACGTCTCGAACAACCTCTGGAGCCTCATCACACACTCCCGGAAACCCTCCCAGAACCGGGACCAAAACCAAGGATTGGCCAAAACCACATAGCTGTCGCTGGTGGGGAAGAAACGTGTCTGTCCCTGCGCAGGAACAAACAAAACACAAACCCAAAACCAAAGTGAAGATAGGGGGTGTTCGAAAAGAAAGTGCCTTCTTCGCCAGCTGCATCTTCTTTTTTCCAGACCTTCGCACATGACTTGTTCTTTTAAATAAAAAATAAAAATAAAAAAATGTGCATAGCACTTCCCCTTCTAAAGGTTGGCCTCCAATTCCGCCGGGTCCCCGGCCCACACTGCTCGGCCCAGAGCTCCCGAAAGACCTCCGTGCCTGCGCTCGCTCAAACGCTACGCTCAGACGGGTCCCAAAGTAATCAGACGGATATCCCTCCTCTTGATAACATCACTCCTTGAAATTTTCAAAAAACAGAACAAAGGTGTTGATGTTCAAAGGTTCAAAGATATCCCTCCTATTTCGCGTCACTTTGGAACGGCTCAAGGAAGCCCTGAAAATGGGTCCTGGGCCCGCTCATTCGGAGCCACGGAGAACCATCCCCTTGTCGGGGCCCCGCACGCACGGGGCCCGGCAGCCCGGCCAGGTGCACCACCTGAGATGCGTGGCTTGTGGCTCTCTCGAGGCCTCTGGGCAGTTGGACTCGAAGGGCGCGTTGTTCCAAAGGGAGGGGGACTGCGTGTGTTGCTTTTTTCGGGGTGTTTGTTTGGGTGGTGTGTTGTGGTTTTAACCAACAAAATCAACAGAAAACCCGGAAAATCACTTCGCGTGTTGCTTTTTCGGGGTGCTTGTTTGGGTGGTGCTAACAAAACAAAAATCGCCAGAAAGCCACCCCAATCTTCTGTTTCCCTTTTTGTTTTGACACACACCCACATGCCAGTCCCCGTAGTTCGGGCCCCCCATCCCCCCCACTCCGCTTCTCACAGTTGAGTGGCGCCCCTCTCGCCTGGAATTTTGGAGTGAGGTGACTAAGACCCCCCACGTCCTCAAAGCACCAGACCAGGAAATCGGTGGCTCGCGCGTTCAAGAGGGGCTTGACATCTACAAATCTCAAGTTGTGAGTTCTGGGAAAGGAGTTGTCAGACTCTCCTAGACACGGACTTTCCTAGACATGTTCCGTCCCAGCCACTTTCCCAAACACACTTCCAACATTGGTCTATGCTGGTGTTCCCCCCAAGGCCCTGGCGTGACTCTTGTATTGTACGGAAAAAATGGGCATCCCATCCCCCAAAAGCAATCCCCTTGCGCAACATACACCCTGACATGCCGGATTCGGCAGTCCTGTGCTAACAAAACAAAGAACACATGGACTACGAGAGAGGCTCATTGGCCAGATCCTTGGATCTCCCAGGGAAGCTTCCCCAGGCTTCCACGTGGGTTTAAACACCAGACCCGGACCGAAATGGGAACACCAAAGGTTGTGTAAAAAGATAACATCGGTGGTTAACCATGCTTTAACTGGGAGTTGGCGAAAAACCCTGTTCCTCCCTTCCCGACCAACCTGGCATGTCAACAAACACTGATAGTCGCCTACATGTTAAAGAACCACAGAAGCCAAACCCTCCAAAGCGCGAACCATGAGCAAAGGGTCATGCAAGGGGCGAACAAAATAGGGGCACCTCTCAAACCTCCTAATCTTGGCTTGCCGCAGAGTTCTGCGGGCAAGAGTCCGCAAGACCGCGAGGTATGCAGGTTCTACGCATAACCCCAACAATCATCAACAATGACCCAACAAAAAACCTCTCAATTCTCTGAAACCGAAAAAAACAAGCAACCTCAAGAAACCATCAAGAACCCCTCAAAAGAAACGGTCAAGAAAAGCAGTCCTTTGCACAAAGCTCGCCCCTTCCCATCTTCCCCGGGGGCCCCACGGGTTGCCGAGCCGCCGGCGCCGCCACGGGATTGCTGGACCTCGGGTGCGGCACCTTCAGCATGCCTCGAATTGGTTTGGGATCACATCTGCAACAGCTCTCGCTTGAAAAAGTGTCGCCATGTCCGAGTTCTCCAGTCCATGGCCGGTCAAAAACATATATACATGGGTTACCTTGGCAAATGGCTGTGGTTGTCAAAACCGTTTTGGGATCCCATTTTGGTTGGCTTTCGGTGAACTCACCACCCATGCTAGAGCCTATTTTGGTGGGGATTGGGATGTTCACTGGGGATTTTCAGCACTTCAGGGGCCTTTCAAAAGGCAGCAATCAAGACATGAATAACATTTGGTTTGCGCGCCAAAGGACTTTTGGCAACAAAGCAAAGGTCAATGAAAAACGGACACAGGGGATTCCATGCCTTTCAGTGTAAACAATACCTGATTTGGACTTTCCCTCATTTGTCTGCCCCCCAGCATGTCAGCTTCCCCTGTGATTTGGAGGGTGATTTGGTGGTTAAGGAGGGGATTCCCATCTACCCTCTACAAGAACCAGGGGTTCAAATCCAAATCCAAACAACCAATCCCAACCACAAACCTGACGGGCTGCCTGATGTCATCGGTATTGGTCTCCCTCTTTGAGGGTTACAAAGGGGCGTGGGCGAACCAAGGGGTTGGCCCATTGTCTTGTCAGCTCTGAAGTTACCAGGAAAACATCCGCTTTCTGACTTTGATAGTGACTAGTCCAATGAACCCAAAACCAAAACACCAGTCTAGTTGGAGACCCCTTTTGAGGACCCGTTCTGGCAACTCTAATTAGAGACTTTTGAGAACCTGTTCTGGTAACTCCAACTACTTGGGCCGAGACGGACGCACCAACTCACCATCTCAACAAGAAGAGACGGAAGAAGAAAAAGAAAAAAAATACGATAAACATGACCCCCTGTAACATGATATATGACCACCTGTAAGACATGGCTGTGGGTCACAAATAGGTACCCAAAATGGAACCCTGGTAAAGGCAAACATGGACTAAAATCTTGCTTTTCTGGTGATTTAATATTGACCCACACCCACATGTCACCAAGTTAAACCATCAAAAACCCGATGAAAAGTCTCACCTGTCCGTCGCACCGGGAAGCGAGGTCCCGGCTCGCTGTTCAGCAGGCCGGCCGGCAGCAGCACCAGGCGCCCGTCCAAGCCTCTGCCCCAAATCGAGTTCCCTTCCCCCCCTTCAGGGGAACCTGGGCGGTCCGTTTTCAGATCCGATAAAAGCTTCACTTTTAGTGGGTTAAATAGAAATCCCCACTAAACACTAAAAAACTAGAAAGCTAAAAAGCAAAAAAGCTAAAAGCTAAGGGGATGGCTGAGAACCTGCAGTGGAATTTGGTCGGTCAACCCCTTCGGCTTCGACATGTCCAAAGTCGGAAGCGAAAAACACGTTGTGCTTTGGGGCAAGCTGGAACCCGTTTGCTCCCTTGCTTTCTTACGTGCTCACTCACCCCTTCACTCACTTACTGGCAAAGGGCAAACTGAAACGATTTCCATCTAAGAATCTATTTTCCACTGGATTCGCCCAAAGAGGACACCTATGCACATTTAACCTGTTCATGGTCGTGTCTGAGGCTCGCTCCGTTTTGCCTTCGGCGGGAGTGGTTTGAGGGCACACTACTTTTCGGGTTGAATAAGCATCTCCCAGAAAATGGGGACGAGCTCGCGTCTTTTGCAGCCCACTCGAAGGATCACAGAAAGAGGTTCTCGTCTTCTCAACCTGGGTCCACGGCATCCGTGCGTGTTGCTGGTGATGAAGTGCTCGAGCACCTCCCAACGGCCCCTCTGCCTTTAAAAAAGCCCGGTTCAGCACGGCCAGCGCCGACCGTTTCTTTTTCTTTTTTTTCCGCGAGTGACGGATGTGACACAACACGAGCACCGCAGCTTGAGTAGGTCAAGGGTGATTAACACCATCGGGAAGGATGCCGTTGAACTTGAACTCGAAAGTTGATGCCCAATAAACCCTACTTGAAGTTTTTGTTTGAAAAGGGACACCCTATCTAACCTAGAATTTCTGGTGGGATGGTTTCCCGGTGGGCTGGGCCCTGACATGTAGGAACACTAAGCCCTTTGTGCAGGCTGTCTCAAGCCAGGCAACTGAGAGGTGGGACAATCTTGGGTGACAGAAGCAGCTAAGCACTTACTGGTGATTTGTAGTTTGGAGATTTCGGGTGTCTTTTCTTGCTTCGCAATTTGGGATTTCCTTTTAAGAGAAATCTAGAGCCAACCACCCATTTGAGGGTTCCTCAATGTTAAGACTGACCCATTTGCCTGCTGTCCATCCCCCAATTCAAGCACCAAGAGCTATCCCACTCGAAGCCACCTCCTGCTCGTTGCGGCTCGGATTACCCTCCAGCTCCTGCAAAGAAGAACGTTGCAAGTCCAGGGCCCCTTGCAGGATAAATCCAAGAAGAAGGATACATCCAAAACCACCTGCTTTACAAGGGGATCCTCCAAGTGTGGGCGACGGTGGTTTGTTTTGCTGGCCCATGTTGATCGTTAAGGGGATTCTGTTGAATCGCGTCAGCACGAACTTGCTCCTGGGGAGCTACAAAGAAGCTCTCACCGCTGGCCCGATGCACCAACTTTGCTTGCACTAGGTGTGTCCCTTTCCTACTTCTTCATTCCTCTTTGACACTCTTTTAGGTGGTCCACCTGAAGCGCCTGCAAGCTTCCCGGCCTCTCGTACGGCAGCCGAAGGCCAGAATGTTGGTTTACCGAACGAGCCAACAACTGAAACAAATGGGCCAAGAACATTGAAGGAAGCCGTCCCACTCACTCCGCTTGAATCATTCTTATTGATGTGTCAAAAGCCCTCTTCGAAGACACCCAGAAGACGTTGCCAATTACAAACTCCTTTTGGATGGCTTGAAAAGAGCCAATGGGAAACCAAACAGATCCGTGAGGAGTTACACTTCCACCTAAGGGATGGTACTAGGCACCCGGCATGGGGCGACCCAGCACGCGAGTGGGTTGGCTCGATCCCAGATAAACCTGTACAAGGGCTGTTCTATCAGATCTCATGTGCGAATTCCATGAATCCTGAGGGCTGGTTTGCAAAATCGATGCGAGAGACTCTGCCTCCAATTGTACCTGTATCGTGGTTTTTCCCATCCGCAGGGTTGGGTGTCGGGAAACTTCGAGGCGCTGAGTCCGAGATGCATTGGTTTTTTGCTCGGTTTCCTCTTCGGACTCGAAAACGTGGGCGGCGTTATTCAATCCGACCACGAGTAGTCCAGTCACCCCTTGGCGTTTTCCGGCACCCTGAAAGCAAGTCTCCCTTATCCTCAACGCCGAACAAAAAGCCGTCTCCTGCCACCAGGCTTCCAGGAACTCCTCGGTCCACGCACTGCGGCGCCTGAGCGTCTTCCCACTTGAAAAAAACCCCACCTGTCACATCAAAAAAAAAAAAAAAACTAGAAGTCAGACATGCCATGCTCTTCTGTTCTGGAGCCCTCAAAAAAAACCCAACCTAAAACGTGCCGCACCCTCAAAAGCCCACGCTTCCTCGGGCCGGGTAAAAAAACGTCGCTGTTGCGCCCGCCTTTCGGCGGGCTCGGGGCACCCGAGCCGTCGTATGGTCTGCTTGAGCCATCTGTACTTTCGTGAGTCCAAAGACTGCGCTCACCCCAAAAATAAAATCCAAAAAAAAAACAAAAAACAATTGCGTTCACTCCCAAAAAGAAATTCCTTTGGACTCCAGATCTTTCAGACCTTCGAAGGTCAGCATAGACCGCAAGGTGCGGTTTTTCAGACCCGGTCTGGGGATATGACCCGCGAGCCTGGGATGCTCATGGCATGGGCGAGCTCTACACGGCCGGTGGGCTCCGATCGCAGGTGCCCCGATGTCGAAGGTGCCCAGAGGATGACCCAAGCCAAAACCCGTGGCGATACCCACGGGCCAAAAACTTGTAGTTGAGCCCGAATTCGTGATCAGAACCTTGAAGTGGTCAACCCAAAGCCTCAAGACGTAAGACGGCAATATCATTCACCTCATTGGGACTGTGCCCTTCACTTCGGGCTTTGTCCCCCAAACCCCCCCGCAGTTTTTGCCGTTTTGGGCGTCCCTAGGCGTCCGCGCCAAAGCCCTGTGCCCATGTTGCTCAGCCGGGATCCCCCCGCGAAGCCGGACCTCGCCGACTCGCCGACTCGAGCTTCGACTCGACGGGGAGTGAACACCACCGATTCGGCGATCGCATCGCAAGATCCTTCGAAGGAGACCGGGAGGAAGGGCTTTGGAAGGTGCTACCCATCTGGAAGCGATACTTCAGGTTTTGGACATGACCATGTTTGTTTTGCCCATGAAAATGACGCTTTTTGCCTATTTGCGGCCAGGAGCGGGCACGGGGTGCGGGGTCCTGAAAAATGTGGCTGGTAAGCCAACCATGCCGACCAACCCCGAATTGTAAAGCAAACTGCCAGTTGCAGGGCTTCACCTGCTTGGTACTTACAATCACCTCTTTGCCTGTGATAGTCAACACCCCCCAATGACCAGCATTTGCTGGGGAAACATGGTGTTTATTGGGGCCGTGGCGGGTTCCCCTTCGGCCTTTGTACAAATGGAGTCGACCATTGCTAGCGCACAGTGGGGCCCCGTAAAGGAAACCACGCGGGATGGTTTATGGGGGTCGTTCCAATTCTCATTCCCTGCTGAGAACCAGCAAGTTGTTTGGCCTTAGTCCATTCTTTTGCCAAGGACAGGGTGCGGGCGGCGGATAAAATAAGACTTGTTGAGGGACCCTCTTTTCAGGTTGGTGTGAAGGGAATCCAAGACGAAAGCATCGCCATGTTGTTTTAGGGGGTTCACCCATTTCACGCACTCATTTCTGCACAGGGGGAAGTGATTCAGGCTCATCCTTGCCCAACCTCCTAAAAAGGAACCTGCCAAGGGCGTGCTATAAATCAGCAAGTAACTCGATGACAACTAGAATTATAACGGGGATTCAAGAATGTCAAAAGGAGCCTAGAACTGTGGTGATTGTCAAAATGGCCTGTTTCCACCAACCCTCGACTCCAACACACCTTTCGAGCATACCCCGGACCCCCCATGAAAGGAGGATTCTTGAAATTTGTGCTTGTTTTCCAGAGGAGACAGTGTGTGTGTGTGTGTGTGTGTGTGTGTGTGTGTGTGTGTGTGTGTGTGTGTGTGTGTGTGTGTGTGTGTGTGTGTGTGTGTGTGTGTGTGTGTGTGTGTGTGTGTGTGTGTGTGTGTGTGTGTGTGTGTGTGTGTGTGTGTGTGTGTGTGTGTGTGTGTGTGTGTGTGTGTGTGTGTGTGTGTGTGTGTGTGTGTGTGTGTGTGTGTGTGTGTGTGTGTGTGTGTGTGTGTGTGTGTGTGTGTGTGTGTGTGTGTGTGTGTGTGTGTGTGTGTGTGTGTGTGTGTGTGTGTGTGTGTGTGTGTGTGTGTGTGTGTGTGTGTGTGTGTGTGTGTGTGTGTGTGTGTGTGTGTGTGTGTGTGTGTGTGTGTGTGTGTGTGTGTGTGTGTGTGTGTGTGTGTGTGTGTGTGTGTGTGTGTGTGTGTGTGTGTGTGTGTGTGTGTGTGTGTGTGTGTGTGTGTGTGTGTGTGTGTGTGTGTGTGTGTGTGTGTGTGTGTGTGTGTGTGTGTGTGTGTGTGTGTGTGTGTGTGTGTGTGTGTGTGTGTGTGTGTGTGTGTGTGTGTGTGTGGTGTGTGTGTGTGTGTGTGTGTGTGTGTGTGTGTGTGTGTGTGTGTGAGTGTGTGTGTTGTGTGTGTGTGTGTGTGTGTGTGTGTGTGTGTGTGTGTGTGTGTGTGTGTGTGTGTGTGTGTGTGTGTGTGTGTGTGTGTGTGTGTGTGTGTGTGTGTGTGTGTGTGTGTGTGTGTGTGTGTGTGTGTGTGTGTGTGTGTGTGTGTGTGTGTGTGTGTGTGTGTGTGTGTGTGTGTGTGTGTGTGTGTGTGTGTGTGTGTGTGTGTGTGTGTGTGTGTGTGTGTGTGTGTGTGTGTGTGTGTGTGTGTGTGTGTGTGTGTGTGTGTGTGTGTGTGTGTGTGTGTGTGTGTGTGTGTGTGTGTGTGTGTGTGTGTGTGTGTGTGTGTGTGTGTGTGTGTGTGTGTGTGTGTGTGTGTGTGTGTGTGTGTGTGTGTGTGTGGCCCCCCTGTTCCTAAGGGGTTCTGCGGTCGTGTTTTTTCTCTTTATCGGAGTCGGACGCCACCTTCATTCATGTCCTGGCATGCAGTAGCCAGATTGGCCGTTGGCGTCCCTGAAGAGGAAGGCCAATCTAGGCGAACAATGTTCAGGCATGTGTGAAGCCGAAACTCCATTGCCCTGCCGGAGACCTTCAAACAGCCTGTACCTGCATGGTGGTGCACATTGTCAGCTTTTGCCGTCTCATATCAAGTGTGTTTAGGCACTGCGTCCGGGCTTCGGTCAGTGTCTTGATCCCTGTTGTGGGCATCTGTTCCGACTCATGCTCAGACATTTTCTACAGACTGTTACCGGACCTTGTCGCTCGTGACGCTTGACTGTTCCAGCTGATCTTATCAATGCAGGCTTGGACCTCTCCCAGACCTTCCGGCACCCCAGACTGTTTCCGTGAACCGTTTCTGTCAGACCAACTGTTTGACAACCAATCCGACTACCCGACACATCAGGTGGAAAATCACGACGCCGTCAGCTTGGTCTTGGCTCGCAATTGTTGGCACTAGATGTCTCGCCCCCACGCAGGTCCGATGTCGAACTCGGCAGGCCCCATGGCCAAGGCATCCAGGAACACTGCCGGCCCTACGCCGCCCAGGTCTCCGGTGCACCAGTCAGCATCACCGAGCAGGAGTACGCTTGTGACACCAGCTTCGAGGATATCTTGCGAGGTGTCCAACGCCTCAAGGGCTGCCAAAGCAGCGGTCCCGGCTCTTGCTCCCGGTGACGCATCAGCATCGGTCCCTACCTTGGAGGTCTGGCCTGCATCAGTAGCTGGCCCACTGCCGCAAATTCTGGTGAAAGCACGCCCGGCCACACCGATGACACCAATGACTCCAATGACGCCAACTACCCCGACAGTTTCAACTACAGCATGCCCACCTATGCCTACAGCACCGACCCCTATCACACCGATCCCTACGGCAACCCCATCAGGTCAGATGCTTCCACCGCCCAACCCACCATCCAGATCACTCCACACGACGGAGGGAGACCGGTCACGTTCCCACAACGCTTCCCCCTACTCCAAGTCAGTGCCCCCACAGCGGCGAGGCCGAGCTCGCTCCCGGACGCCACCTCCGATCTCCCGAAGGGACTCAACATCGGACAACACCGTGACGGAAGCATCGAATGCTACCGCGCCGGCGCCCACAGCAGCCAAGTCCTCATCCCGGGCACCTACGGCAACTAAAGCTTCATCCCGACGACCGAGAAGCAATCGATCTCCCCTTCCGCGTAGCAGAAGCAGTGCCCCGTCAGCTCCAGCCTCCAAGGCCGCAGGAGCTCGCCCGGATGTGGGGTCGTCCTCGAGGAGCATGCAACTACGCCCCAACCCACAGGCACATCCACCGCTGGTCTTGCTTCCCAACCCGGAGTCTGATCCCTGGAGGAACGAACTTCAGGTGCTGGCCGCACCATATCTTCGCGATGGGATCCCAGTCAATCAGGAGCAGATGAGCTATGTGGCCGCGACCTTGAATGCAGCAGGCATACCGTCTCAGCACTCCACCCTGAACTATGCGAAGGTCAACCCGGATCATCATTTTTATAAGATCACCCCGCACTGGTTCATGCTGACGGTCCCTTATCTTGGGGCCACAGTCCGGCTCAAAGAACCGACGAAGACGCGACCCATGCTGCTCTGGACTCACGCTTCCAGTGTTGGAGGTACTCGCGGCATCCTGCGGAGCCGACAGGCAGCACTCCTCGGAGTGCCCAGCCTTTTATGCCCAGGGCTGGAAGATCACTGGACACGCCGACTACGACGCTGAAGAAATCGCTCGCACGATGAGCCAGAACTGGAGCATGTCTTTTAACATGGCCCAATTGCTGTTGTTCGGACGCGCTGTTGGCACCTGTCAACCGATTCGATCGGGAGGAGAGCAAGCTTGCATTGAGGCCCTGGACTCCAGTGAACGTCCTGATGTCATCCACTATGTGTCGGGCAAGTGTTGGATGGTGATCCCGGAGGCAAGCCAGATCGTTGGACTCGCATGGCCCACCGATGCAAAGCCGCCCACTGGTGTCCTCCGCTCGTGAACCTGCACCAGGAGCTGTTGTAGCCAATGACAATTAATGATGTTTCATTGCGAATAAGAGCATACTTCGCCACACTGCCGTCTTCGACTACCGACGATATTTTGCGACAAAAAGTGCACGCCAGAGTCTGATCCGAGTATGTGCTGACCTTACTGCAGGGTTTCCTTTTTTGAAGCTTTGTGTAACTAATGCTGTTTTCTGGTCGCTCACCACCCCGGGCCCGGTCGGAATTCGGGTGTCGTTTTGGCATGGTTGTTGTTTCGGAAATGTGTGGCGTACCCCTAGCGTTTAACCCATTAGCAGTGTGGGCGGCAACCTCCTATCTCGTGATGGCTTCTCCGTGGAGCTATTCATGGCCGGCGACATCGGCACCTTCTTCCTCTTCGCATCCGGGACCCTCGTATCTACCGTCATGGTCATTTCCGCAGTCCCAGCAGGAGGCATATCTCAGCTCCAATCGGACGGAACCTTCGCAACATCAACTTCGCGAAGAAGCACCGTCCCGAGTCAATCCCCCTCGGCCCCCACAGATGGCTCATCAGTTTCCTCCTCAACCACCCGGTCAATTTTACAACTATCACGGTGGTGGAACAAGCCACATGCAGACAGGTCCTCGTCCTCCACCACCCGCACCGCCAGTTCAACCTCCAGTTCGGGCACCTCTAGGCCAGGGTGATGCAACGCAATACACTCAGCCTCGATATTCGCAGCTACTTCCCAGCACCTTCCAATCTGACGACATCTTCCTAGACAAGACGGAGGTCCGTGGTCTGCAGCTGTACCGTCACGTTCAGCCCACTCAGTGGTCCAGAAGAGTTGGGCTCGCAGGAACAGCCATCCTGGATCTTCCACTCACGCGACTTCTTCGAGGAGGAGCAGAAGATCACGCATTACGAGCACTATCAAATGGCCGCTACAGCACACCAGTCATGGCTCAGACGATAGC